AATCACAACACACACTGGCCCAGCTAACCAATCACAGCACATTACACAGCACGTATTTCAGAAGGTGGGCCTTCATTTGATACAGGAACTATTCGAGCCGTTCATGCCAGACTGGGGAGAGAGGTGTTGTAATAATGTAAAATATGTGAAAAATAATGTGTTTTTCGAACAACCTAGTATGAGAGCCTGTTCTAGTACACCCCCAAAACAAAATCAAGACTTTGTAAAAGAGCATAATAGGACCCCTTTAACATTGCTCTAAATAATTGTTTGTATATTACTGTGACCTACTGTGACACATAGAGCAGGGGTGTCAAACTCAATTCCTGGAGGGCCGGAGCCCTGCAGAGTTTAGATTCAACCTTAAACACACCTGATCCATCTAATCAAGTCCTTCAGGCTTATTTGAAAACTACATGGTATGTGTGTTGGAGCAGGGTCCTAACATAGAGCTTTGGTGCATGAACTTGAATCCTTCTTTTTATTTGCCGGTCAATAGGTATATAAATTAATAAGAAATTATTTTAAAGAAATAGTTTACCTATATATGAAAATTTGCTGAAATTTTACTCACCCTCAGGCGATCCAAGATGGACATTAATTTGTTTATTCATCAGGACAGATTTAGAGAAATTCAGCATTCCATCACTTGCTCACCAACGGATCCTCTGCAGTGAATGGGTGCCGTCAGAATGAGAGTCCAAACAGCTGATAAAAACCTCACAATGATCCACAAGTAATCCACACCACTCCAGTCCATCAATTAATGTCTTGTGAAGTGAAAAGCTGTGTTTGTAATATACAAATTAATCTTTAAGGTGTTCTTTAAACCATTGTTTTATTGGCTAAAATACGAGTCAATAATATAATCTCCAGTGAAAATGTCATCTCGTCTTAATCAGGAGAGAAATCTGCACAGATCAAGCACCGTTTACAAGAGAAAACAGTTCAGAGCAGTTCTAAATAAATATGTTGGTGGATTTTGATGTGGCAACAGAGGTTGGACTTTTTCACTGGAGTGTTATTATGGATTATGGCTCATATTTTGTCCAGAAGCGATGGTTTAAAGTTAAAGTGCCTTAATGATGGATTTGTTTCTTACAAATTGCGTGGATTACTTGTGGATTATTATGATGTTTTTATCAGCTGTTTGGACTCTCATTCTGACGGCACCCATTTACTGCAGAGGATCCATTGGTGAGCAAGTGATGTAATGCTACATTTCTCCAAATCTGTTCTGATGAAGAAACAAACTCATCTACATCTTGGATTGCCTGAGGGTGATTAAATTGTCAGCAAATTTTCATTTCACTCATTTTAAGGCACCATTTTACAGTCTCAAATTAAATATGGTATCTTCCATTACTAAGATCCATCTTAACATCTAAAATTGTCATATTGTGATATTATCTTTGGCTTTTCATCCAATTTATCCCCTGCAGATTCTGACTATGTTTGAGGAGAACTATCCAGAGAACCTAAAAAAGGTGCTTTTAATCAAAGGTGAGTAATCGTTGCACCAGTTAAATTACATCACTGTGAGATTGTTAGATAATAAACAGTTCTGAAATTATTCTTTCTACAGCCCCTAAACTCTTCCCTATTGCATATAACTTGGTCAAACACTTTTTACATGAGGAAACAAGGCAGAAGATTGCTGTGCTGGGTTGTAAGTTGTCTAGTTAAGACAAACATCACGATACTGTTGACTTTGGTGTGTAACTCATCCTGCATGAATGACACCTCATGAATGGCAATTTCTCTTGCGATCTCCACCTTCCAGCCAACTGGAAAGAGGTGTTGAGGAACTATGTGGATGCAGATCAGTTACCTGCGGTTTACGGAGGATCCATGACTGATCCTGATGGAAACCCTCTCTGTAAGACCATGGTGAGGTTTACTAGTGAACAGGAGATTACCACTTCAAATAGGAATCAAAAATTTGGGGTCAATCTTTAAAAAAAAAGAATTAAGAAATTAATACTTTTATTCAGTGAGGATGCATTAAATTGGACAAAAGTGACATTTAAGTAATTTATAATGATACAAAAGATTTCTATTTCAAATAAATGCTGAACTTTCTGTTCATTAAAGAATCCAGGAAAAAAAATGTAGTCCAAAAAAAGCAGTAATATTAGTAATAAGAAGCAGCAAATCAGCATATTAGAATGATTTCTGAAGGATCATGTGAATCTGAAGACTGGAGTAATGATGCTGAAAATTCAGCTTTTCATCACAGAAATAAATTGCATTTTAAAATATATTACAATAGAAAACAGTTCTTTTAAATAGTAATAATATTTCACAATATTACAGTTTTTTCTGTATTTCTGAACAAATAAATGCAACCTTGGTGACCATAAGAGTCTTATTTCAAAAACATTTTTAAAAATCTTACTGACCCCCCCAAACTTTTGAATGGTAGTCCATTGAGAATACCAATATTTAGTTGTCTTTACTCATCTGACGTCTTCCTCTCAGTTACGTTATGGTGGCGTAGTGCCGAAGTCGTACTATGTGCGGGACTCCATCAAAGTGAAGTATGACCAGTTTATCACAATTAGCCGTGGCTCCTCGTACCAGCTAGATTATGAGGTGCTCTTTCCAAACTGCGTACTACGGTAAGTACCATTTGTAAGTGCTAATAGTTATGCATAATTGTTTAGCAAAATAGCATGCAATATACTCCATATGTATGCTACTATTGGATTTTGAGCATAGCCTGTCTTCTTTCCTTTGTGGTTAAACTAGTTTTTTTTCTCATTCTAGATGGCAGTTTGCAAGTGAGGGGTCTGATATTGGTTTTGGACTTTTCCTGAAGACAAAAGGGAATGAGACCAAGAAAGCAGAAGCCATGCAGGAAATACTGCCTACCGAACGTTACAATTCCCACCTAGTTCCAGAAGATGGATCCTACACCTGTGAGGAATCGGGCATCTGTACGTTTGTTTTGAATTTGACATTTGAGTTTCTTATGGAAGCTTGTTTCCGCCATGGAATAAAATCAAAAGGTAATTGAGCTTTTATCTCACAATTCAGACTTTTTTTCTCAAAATTCTGAGAATTGCGAGATATAAAGTCAGATTTGTGAGATTAAAAAAAAATCACAATTCTGAAGAAAAAAAGAAAAGTCTGAATTGTGAGATAAAAAGTCACAATTACCTTTTTTATTTTATTTTTTATCTTGTGGCAGAAACAAGCTTCCATAGTTTTTGGTGCTATTCCAGTTATTTATTACTATTTAAGCTGATAACAATCTCTTTTTCTCTATAGATGTGGTACGGTTTGACAACACTTACAGTGTGCTTCATTCAAAGAAAGTCAGCTTCACCGTGGACGTGCTTCTACCTGAAGGACATACAGGAAAACAGGCATAAAACTCGACTGGAATCAGACTTTGTCATATATCCATTAGCATTAGATAAGAGATTACCTGTTGAAATGCATGGACTTTGAGCACACTGTTTAAACACAGGAAATCAGAACTATTAGATTAGTGTTTTTTTAATTTAAAAGTTTTTAGATAATTATGCTCTCTGTAAGCTAATTATTATAGACGGTTATTAAAAATCGATTGTATGCAAGCAGTTCCTAAAGGATGTTGTATGAACCGTTTCCAGTATTTGAATTACAATTGTGTATGACAAATGGAAGCAGTGTAGACTGATTGGGACTGTAAAGTATAAAATATTTGGTCAGCAGACACTTTCCTTAATGTGAAATAATTAGGAATATGGAGAATATCTCTCAATGAATAGGACACTGAATTACAGCAATTATAATACAACTGAACTCATGTCAGCGCATTTAATGGGTAAATCCTTCTGTAATAGCAAGATTATAGTAATCCTTGAAATATTTAGTTATTGCAGCCACTTCTATCATTTTTGAGAATGTTTTAAATGTGCACATAATTATTCACTAATCTGAGAATAAAATGCATTTAAGGAAACACACTATGTTGATGAGTTCATGTTTATTTGTAACACTAGAGGACGCACTTGCATCATATTTTACCGAGGTCGAAATGCAGTGACGTCAATAGACACAATGACATTGATTTTACACACTTCCATTAACAAATCCACCGATGTGTTACATTATGGCAGTTTATTACCGTTGATTAATTTACTTTTCATTACTATTCTTACACGATGATAGTATTTATTCTACTGATTTTATTTTATACTGATAATGAAAAATAATTTCAAAATTGTACTCATTATTTAAGCATTAAAATAAAAGAATTGAGGTTGAAAATATGATTAATTGTCATTAAATTACTATTTTACTGATCATATATATATATATATATATATAATTTGATTTAAATTTTTTTAGCATTTAATTTTGTCATGAAATTCAAGGGGACACGGGGCTCGTGCTATTACATAACACACAAAAAAGGCAAATGAAGACAGAAGAAAAAAAAAAAGATGTTTAATCGTAAACCTGTCAGATGCTTACATTTATTTAAACGTATTACCACAATTTATCATAAATAATTACTACCTTATAATGCCATGAGACGTTTATCTTTAAAGCCCAAACATTATGTATTTTAAATAAGAACTCGCACGCATGTATTAGTTTAACTCCAGATTGTTCCTAATTATGAAAGTGGGCGTTGCGCAATTTTGCATTATGCAAATAAGGGGGCGGGGCCCGCGTGTGGCAGCGATGACGTGACGTAAGGTCCAGCCTTGCGGAGAGAGCGCAACAAACATGGCGACAGAGCGGAGCGGACAGGGGTGTCTTCTAACTTTCATCGTGTTCCTTTGGAGCTCTGTCGGCGGGCGGACGGAGACGTCGAGCCCCAGTTCCAGCAGTCAGATCCTGGGCATGCGGCTGGAGAGGAGCGACAAAGCGGCCAGCACGACAGAGGACGGGGTCATCCAGGTAACGGAGGAGAGCAGCGTCGTGCTCAGGTTTTATGGGGTGTACCTGAGCTCGGACGCAGCATCCCACATCAGGTTCACCGAGTATGTGGATACGGGGGACAGTGACGAATTAAACAGGACTTGTGAGGATTTCACCAAAGACCTGAGCATCAGCACCTTCATGAACGTGAGCAATAGAGGGACGTCAGGTCTGGTGAGTGTGTATGTGAAGCCACTGCGTAAGAGTGAACGAGAAAAGACCTACAGCCTATGTGTCAGGCAGGGTTTGGGAGACAAATGGGTCCAGTTGGGTGAAAATGATGGAAGATTGTTAGTCATAGAGGAGAAAGAAACTTTTCTACCTCTTTGGTTCCAAATCATCCTGATTTCAGGTTTGCTGGTGCTGTCCGGCATGTTCAGTGGGCTCAACCTGGGGCTCATGGCGTTGGATCCAATGGAGCTTCGCATTGTACAAAGCTGTGGAACTAATAAGGAAAAGAAGTATGCGCGAAAAATCGAACCCATTCGACGCAAGGGCAACTATCTGCTTTGCTCTTTATTGTTGGGTAACGTGCTGGTCAACACAACTTTGACGATCCTGCTAGATGATTTGATTGGGTCGGGGTTGGGAGCCGTGGTGGCATCTACTGTTGGCATTGTCATATTTGGTGAAATCGTGCCACAAGCGCTGTGCTCACGCCATGGTTTGGCCGTAGGCGCCAACACCATCGTGTTGACCAAATTTTTCATGCTCCTGACCTTCCCATTGTCATTCCCCGTCAGTAAACTCTTGGACTGCATTCTCGGGCAGGAAATTGGCACCGTCTACAACCGTGAGAAGCTGGTGGAGATGCTGAAGGTCACCGAACCCTACAACGACCTGGTGAAAGAAGAACTGAACATCATACAAGGTGCTCTGGAACTCAGAACCAAGACGGTTGAGGATGTGATGACGCCTCTGAGCAACTGCTTCATGATTCACATTGACGCCGTGCTTGACTTTAATACCATGTCTGAGATCATGGAAAGCGGCTACACACGGATACCCGTGTATGATGCCGAGCTCTCCAACATCGTGGACATCCTGTACGTCAAAGACCTGGCCTTCGTTGACCCCGACGACTGCACCACGCTTAAAACGGTCACCAAGTTCTACAACCACCCGGTGCATTTCGTCTTCCACGACACTAAGTTGGATGCCATGTTGGAGGAGTTTAAGAAAGGTTAGTGGTTTTGAAAGTTTAAAAAGAACCTGCTGTGCTCAAAGGAAGCAAAGGCTTTGGCTCCATGCAGTTGTTTTCATCCTCCTATTGATTATGATGGGTGCTCAAATTCCCCCTGAGAGCCGAATCAATAACCATATGCTCCCTGTATCAGCCTCTGATCAATATGAAGCTCTTCTAGAAAAGACAGAGGTATCCCATGCTGCCAAAAGCACCTGATGCTTATAAAAAATACACACCATCATCCGGTCCACCCGAGTTTGCACACTCACTCTGATGTTCTACCACTTTTACCTTCAGATTTAGGGCCGTAACCACCATAGAAATTTAGGGAGACGTGTTTCCCTCAATATTCAGATTAGTACTTGTTAATGTTCATCCATTAAAGATGTTGGTAACACTTTACAGGTTTTATTTGTTAACATGAGTTAACTACATCAGTTAACATGAACTAACCATTAACAAAACTAATATAGCATGTATTAATCTTAATTAATCTCAACATTTACTAATACATTTTTAATTTCAAAAAGTTGTATCTGGTTACATTAGTAAGCGCACTGTGAACAAACTTGGTTATCTACCATTAATAAAGGTTAATAAATGCTGTAAAAAAATATATTGCTTATTGTTAGTTCATGTTAGTTAACTAATTGTAATTGCATTATGAACTGTTAAAATGTATGCTTAGGGTTATTATAGTTAGCTAAAACTGAAACTAAAATGAAAACCATAAAAAAAAAAAAAATCAACTAGTAACCCAGGCAACATTTTATATAT